ATGTCCTTCGGTCTCACGAATGCATCAGCCACATTCCAGTGCCTCATGGACAAGGTTCTCCGCCATCAGCTCAACAGGTTTGTTGTTCTTTACCTCGATGACATCCTGATTTTCACCAAGTCCATGGATGAGCACGTCAAGCACCTTGAGGAAGTTTTGCAGTTTTTCAAGGAGGTGAAGCTGCACCTCAACTTAGAGAAATCTGAGTTTGGAAGGGTCAACATCATCTATCTTGGGCACCGGTTGTTTGCAAACGGCCTTGGGCCGGAGGCAACCATGGTTGAGGTCATACGAAAGTGACCTCAACCGACAAATGTACAACTACTGCATTCCTTTCTTAATTTGGCTTCGTATTACCGAAAGTTTGTACGTAATTTTTCTGCCATTGCTCACCCACTCTCGGGACTAACAAGCAAAAATGTCACTTATGCGTGGTGTGAGAAATGTGAGACTGCGTTTCAGGCTTTGAAAGAAGCTTTGGTAAGTTATTTTGTGCTCCGCATTGTGGATCCCAACGGATGCGAGCCAGTATGGGATTGACGCTTTGCTGCAACAAGATGATGGTGATGACCTACGTCCGCTCGAATATTACAGCAAACACATGCCCAACCGCAAGTTAGCTACTACACATATATGTGTGAGCTCTATGCCTTGCAAGAGGCGCTAGCGCATTGGAAGCACTAACTTTTGGGTCGTCACTTCAAGGTTTACTCAGATCATTAGACCTTGAAGTGGATCAAAACGCAAACTCATGTCTTCGACGTTGACCCGCTGGCTGCATGACATTGATGTTTACAAAATTGTGAACTGAAACACAAGGAAGGCTGTTATAATCGTGTCGCTGATGCTTTGTCTCGTCATCGTAAGTTTTTGACTTGCCTCGTGAGCTCATCTGACCTCCGAAGGAAACTGAAGAAGGATCTGGTCGAGCACAGTGCCAAGGATCTGGACCTTAGTCCCATCCTCGAGTAGATCAAGGCTAGGGTGCTCAAGGCTGACCCTAGCAGCCAGCCTAATTTTCACGAGTGCGAGGGTCTTGTAGTTCGATGCTATGGGAAGTTTGATTGTTTGTGTGTACCCAACCATGCGGCTCTCCGAACTCATTTCTGGGATTTTGCGCATGGTCGGAGTGGACACTTCGACTTTGAGAAGACTTACGGAAGTCCTTTGCAGCAGTTTGATTGGTCGGGAATGAAGGAATCCGCACAAAAGTTTATTGATGAATTTCAAGTTTGTCAAAGAACCAAGGCCCATAAGCATAAGCCTTATGCCCTGTTGAAACCCCTCCCCATTCTTGATGGACCCGGTGAGTCGGTTTCTATCGATTTCACGTACATGGGAAAGGTGAGTGAGGGAGGACATTCACAAGTCGTGGTCATCGTGGACCGTTTTTCTAAATTTCTGAACTTTATTCCTTTACCTCCTCATGCACCAACCGAGCTTGTGATTGAAGAACCTCACCAGCAGTACATTTTGCAGTATGGCCCCCCAAGAACTCTTGTGAGTGATCGGGACACCAGGTTCATGAGTACTGATTGGAAGGACTTCACCTCTGAGATCTACGGCATTAAACTCAATACAACTTCTGGTCAATACCCCGAAGCCAAAGGGTTGACCGAGGAAATCAACCAGACTGTCATTCAACTGCTTCTGGCGTTCATTGTTCCCGGTCAGAACACGTGGGACAAGGAGTTGCACAAAGTAAAGAGGTTGTATAACAAATCCATTCACTCCGCAACTGGCGCGACACAGAATCAACTGCAATACGGTTGGCAGTTGTGCAATCCTCTCTCCTATCTGTTCCCTGATCGGTCACCTGGTCTGATGCCCAGCATGCCTGGGTACAATGCCGAGTACGCACACTTGCTCAAAGTTGCTATTGCAGCGATGAACAAGCGCCAACATGCCATGATCAAGTAGTCCGCCGTAGGCTTGGAATGTGAGAGGAGGAAGAAGGGGGAAGCCATGGCTATTGTGGACTTATTGTTGTGCTAGTAGTAAGAGGGAACTTCAGATATTGATTCTGGTTCATCCACTCATTGTTATTATTTTTATTTGGACGAAGAATAAGATTGGCGAAGTCAAGGAGGAGGAGGAAGGTGGAGTGAGAAGGGGGATTTGTCATTGGTCGTGCTGGTGTACATCTTCTTCTTCTTCGTCTATCTCTCTTCTTTGGTCTCTATCTCTTTGCAAGTGCTGGCATTATCCTTCATTGTGAATTTACACTTTGGGAATGACCAGGATCGTAACACCCCTCTAGTGCAGCCTTATTCTGGTCCCTGGTCATTAGTCTGGTCTGCCTAAGCTTAGCTTGATTTGCTCTTCTGGTAGCATTTCTGAGTTCCTTCTCTAACTGACAGCGAATGTTCTCTACCTCCTGGGCCTCTAAGGCCTCCCTATTGAGTTGAGTAGGCTGGCTGTACTGCAAGTCACTCATCCCGCTGCTAGAAGAAACTTGGGAAACAGTCTGCGTGCCTGACGGTGCTGCTGCTGTAGCCATTGCGGTTTCTCTTGCCTGCACTACTGCTGCTGCCTCCTCCCTATGTTGCTGCTCACGGCAGGCAGCGCTTTCTGCACGCAATGCTCTTTCTCCATCGGGCAGTAAAGGCCTGATATACGTGTGGCAATCTACGTGCCCTCTGCCATGTCAGTCTCTTGACGTCAGCTAACTTGTCCTCACTACTGTGTCCGCTCATCAGCTGAAGCAGATCACGGTCTGCACTATTGTCCTCGCTGGGACGTACCGCAGCATGGTGTCTGAGCGAGATGCAAAATAAATAAATATGAAATAAATAAATATTTGGTACGAAACTCGGATGTTCGCTCAGGTTGTGTGAACAGAATGTACACAGAGTCGGCAAATGATCTTATTCCTACTTTTACCAATTCTCAAACAACAGCAATAAACAGGACTGGAAATACGGCAATCTGTTTGCCCTCTGCCATGTCAGTCTCTTGACGTCAGCTAATTCTTCCTCACTGCTGTGTCCGCGCATCAGCTTAAGCAGATCACAGTCTGCACTAGTATCCTTGCTGGGACCTACCACAGCATGGTGTCTGACCGAGATGCAAAATAAATAAAAATAAATAAATAAATATTTGGTACGAAACTCAGATGTCAGGTGTTAGCAGTCCATAAACACCTCAACTAGTCAAAATAAAAGTAAATCACTTACACAGATTCGACAGCAATAAACAGGACTGGAAATGGTAGACTGTTACAGTTCTATT